AGTTGAGCAAGTGGAGATTTTCAAGTACCTCAGAGTCGTGTTTGCTGGTGATGGAAAGTTTCAGAAAGAGATCGTCCGGCGGATTAGAGAAGCCAGTGGCGTTCTGCCTGAACTAGCCCGAACCGTTGTGACTAAAGCAGAGCTGAGTCTGAAAACTAAGTTCTCGGTGTTCAAGTCGATCTCCATCCACATGCTTACCTACGGTCATGAGTCGGGGAGCGTGACTGAAAAGCTCTCATCCGGGCTGAAAGCAGCTGAAATGGGCATTATGAGATAAGTCACTGGCCTTACGCGTCTTGTGTTGATCCGGAATTCAGAATTCTGCGAGTATCTTAGTGTACAGCCGCTGCTTTTTCAGATTGAGAAGTCACAGCTGCGATTGTTTGGGCACGTGTTGCGCATGCCTCCAAAAGTGAAGGCGAAGCTACTGGAAGTGCAGTGTATGATAAAAATTACTTCCTCAGCCAAACGACAGAAGACTTAGTGGATGGCCTATATGACCCGTTGGAAGTGTGTTGAATTTCTGCTCTAGATTCCCATTATCTTCTGCCGAAGCTCAGATTTTGTGCAGGATCGGGAACGTTGGAAGCATTCTCTGACGCGTCTTCCTCCGCAGTCTTAAAGGAGAGGTGGTTTTGGAAGATAAACATAATAATCTAAATAGTGTAAGAACGTTCTTTTCGCTTCCTGGTATTTTTCTCACTTTCAGCGTATTTGCCTCATAAAGCATCTTAGAGAAAATTCACTGTACTCAGGTTAGCGATTTACCAGGGTTCAATTTGGAAATTAACAGCGGCGGTAGCCTTTGTAAATAGTGTTATTTTTCTAGGAGTAACTCCCTAAATAGCGTTAGAACTTCGCATGCCCTTTTTGTCATCTCTTTTTTAGTCGATCGATATTCTTTCCTTACCCTCTTATTCGATGCCAAGATTGTGTTGCTGATAGTCACGGCGATCATAGACAGCGTATATATAGTAAAAGAGGACACTAAGTACATTTCTATTAACATTTGGTGATAGTGTTGACGTTAGTTGAGTTTTGAATATCTTCCTTTTTTCAGATTTCTGTTTTAATGTATTTCTGTTTAGCTTCATCAAGAAATCGAGAACCTGCAGCACATAAGGAAAGAATTATTGCGGAAGTACAATGCCCTGCAAAACCAGGGGCGTATTCTGGTGGAGGAAAAAGTGGAACTAATATCGCAGCTGCAAAACGCAGAAAAAGAAAAGACCTTTTTGCAGCAGAAGCTGGACGAAAAGGAGCAATCTGAAAAGGATATGGAAGAGAAGGACGTGCGTTACGATATGCTTAGATCCGGTATTTTGCATTGCTGTATTGTTTTAAGGACCTAAAGACAATCGACGACGAAAATGTTCCCCGTTTTACATTGGCCGAACTGAGAGAAGTGCTCTTGGAGAAAAACCAGTTGAAGGCTCGGGTACTTGAACTTGAGGAGGAGTTGCAACAGCTTCGTCCACCTCCTCCATCGGCGATTCCGGAGGAAAAGTATGACTGCTTTTTAAGATCCTCAGCTTACGTTTTTTGATTTCATTTGGCTTTGAGACTTGGGACTAAGTAGGTCTATTTGTTCTGTGCTACAGTTGCAGGAATTGATTCATTCGTTGATAATCGTTTATTCCTTGTTCAGCATAAACGAAAGCAAAGGACTATTTTACGATATTCGAGTTTGTGGGTTTTCCCTCCCTTTTCCCCCGAATTTACGTATAGATGCGTAGTTTATGTCTATCTAAGGGTTTTTAAAGTGTGCTCTGAGTTGTGTTTTGTAAGTTTGAGCTCGGTTTCAATTTGTTTTAGTTGCTTAATGGAAAAATTAGGTTTTGACCATTTTCTCTCATTCGTTTATGTTTTAACTATGGCTTTATTGCAGTATATCATCCATGTGCTGGTGGGCTAGGACATGACACTGTTCGACGAAATGCATTAAAACGTATGCTTTAGTCGTTCTGGCGACATGATGTGGCCTGACCATCATAGCTTTGTAGGAAAACGTAGGGTGTAGAATCAGTTTCTTGCTGTCACAATGTCTATTTTAGTTATTTTCCATTTGTATTTATTACGTAATTCATGAACTGCAGGAAGGAAAAAATTCCATCCCAAGATATGTAAATGTGCAGATTTACAGGAAGAACGGAACTCTAAGTACCATTATGGGTAGCAAACCCACCCACGCTGGACGCCAAATCAACTTTTATTTTTACAATCTGATATCCATAAAAGCATGACAAAGGCCGTATGTGCGGAAATCTCGACTTTTTCCACTAGAAGAACAGCAACTTTGTCGTAGAACTGGTGGGGGGATGTAACCGATATTCTCCATGAGCGATTCATAAAATTAGACTTGAAATTGAAGAGGATCCATACCCGTAAGGGAAGACAGTCACAAGGGAAAACTTCCAAAGTCACCTTCTCCTAGTCATCCATTACAAAAGACATTAATTGAAAGAATCAAACGTTTTATGTGCAGGTACCGGATAACCACTATTTCATATTACCAAACAGGCTTATTAGCCTCGTATGCAAGAAGGGTTTACGAAAACAAAAGGCTGCCAGGATAGAGCGTGATAAACTCCTCGTGCAGAGACAGCGACATTGAACCAACTGGTTGGAAACTAAAGATCCGGATCAATAAGCGCTTTGCTTGTCTCAGCGGAACAGATAAGATTGGGTTTGCCGTTGCGAAACAGTATGCCAAAGAACCATGCAATACAGTAGATTGCAAGAAGCATGATCGGCACGAAACTTCAACTGGCGAAAAGGAGAGTCTAGGAAGCAGTTCAATATGATGGACAAAAAGCAAAATCAACTGGCAAGAAGAAACATACACGATCAGTCAGGCATGGCTTCGTATGTTGTCATTGTCAATAAATGTACACTATTTGAATTCGCGCGTCTCGTTGAACACTCATTACCGTGTATTCTTGGAACCTTGCTCTGTTACCAAAAACATTCAGAGTGAGAGCAGTCATGACCACGGCATCAGAACCGAGCTAGTCATCCGAAAGGAATAAAGGACAACTGTATCTGATTTGACCCTACCATGGGTGACTACCAACACGAGATGCAAGATAATTTTGGATCTCTCCCCAGATGCTAGTTGATTAAGAGAAGAAATCTACTTAAATAAACTAATTTTTATAAACTTTAATCCAAGGCCGGTGCTTAGATCCACTAGAAAACTTTTTTTGCAGAACACCACCTTCTTTGAAAAGTATTACAGGCATTTTAAAGGAAACTTTTTTTATGAAATTTATTTTAAGTGTTATACCACTGTCTGTTTTTCTATATTGGCATTAGTTTTATTCACAAATTTCCTTGTTTCTTGATTTAGTGAAAGTGAAGAGCTAGTGGTTTATGGGCCGATAAACAAAGAACCGGAAGAAAAGCTGTATCCCTGGAAGTACTCCAGAAAAGACTCTGGTATTAAACGATTGTAAGTATATTACTAACAAATGGCCAGGCGAATTTTTCCCTTTGCTTTTTGATTTTGTAGGCAGATTTCGTTCTGCTTTTACAAATTATTTTTTTTGTTTCTTTGGGTGTTTCATTTTTGTCTGCTAACTGCATGGCATTATTTGTCAATTATCTTTATGGTTTATATGTATGCATTTTTCTATAAATTAAGTTTTTTGAAAACAATTTTAAACCTTCATCTTCATTTTAAATCCAGTTCAGGGAAGAAAAACACTGATTTTTATCGTAACATTTTATATTTCGGTCTTTCAAATGGATCAGAGGCTGAGAATGTTTAGGATAGTTTAAATCATGGGAAATTTTGTTGTTTCAGCATGGAAATGTAAATATCGTTTCTTTTCTTTTATCCTCTGTTTACAACCAATAGGTCGTTTTGGTAATTTGTTAGAGTATCTTCCAAATTTCACTCATCCTTGTGATGACACGTGATACTCGCTAATATAAAATTTATCAAAACTTTTTCTTGCATGAAAATCACGTAGCGTCTTAAGCTGCCTGCATGAAAGACAGCGTTCTTGGTAATGTTTTAATAACAAGAATGTGCAAAGGATTAACAAGATAACCAGTATCTTTTCCTAGACTTGTCAGTCTGCAACAGCGATTCAGAGGCGTTTGGTCTGGAACGTTTCCTGTTTCATCAAGCCATTCTTTTTCAGTCGTTACTTAGGTAGCGTACGAATTTGGCTTTTATAAAACCATGTTTTCGTTCACTAGCTATTTTTTTAATCAAAATTGCAATATTTTAATGACAGGAACAAGTGATCGTTTTGGTTCATTATTTCAGAATGAAGAAAACACTATCATATATTTTTTCTCTGTGGCATTTCAGTACGTTGAAATAATTACTTAGCAGCAAAATAAAAGACTACTGGACCTTAATAAAATACTCTGCCGCTTTTTAAGGTATCTAAAAAAATATTTTTTACTGTTTTAAGCGTAGCGACTTGCCTTGACAATAACGGTTAATTATCATGCTTGCAAATACCTTGTGTTAGTGATCTGATGCATTTTTCTTAAGTTGCTTAAGAAATCTCTTGTCCACTTGTCGTGCACATGATGTTTTATGATTTCAGTTTTCGGTTTTTCAAGAACAGTGCTAATAACAGTCCACGGATGGAAAAGAAGATCCGTGAATAGTGGTCGTCGCATTTTTTGGGCATTTTGTGCCACTGCCGCCGCAGCCAGTTCGGCGATGAGGAATATCATTTCGCTGATTGTCGTCTGCGCGTTCGTTGTCTACCTTGCTCTCGTCCTGTTCCCGCAGTGTCGTCATTCGTTGACTTCGTTGAACATACGATGGTCGCCATTGGCTTTGGAGAGTTGTTGACTTCGCCTTGCCTTCGTCTTTGCAATTCGTTTTTGTCAATCGCGTGATACTGCTGTTTTTACCTCGTTTGTCTTTTGTGACTTTCAAAACTGCTTCGCAAAACGTGCCACATAACATTTTTGACGCCATAAATGTTGTTCGCTGTTATTCCGTTTATTCATAGACTTTTCTGTTCTGTCTATCTGTGATCTGAATTTTTCCTATTGACTTCTAGAATGAATGGTATTTTATTTAGCAGTTTTAGCTTATTTTCTTATTTCACAGTAAAACTGTTTCGACTATAAATATCTTTTGTGGTTAAGTGTAGTTTCATCGTTTTACGCTATTTTGTTGCAAAATTTTGTGAATTCTTCGTTTGGTACATTTAAGATCAAGCAAAGATATTGGAAGAGAAATCAAACCGTCCACTGCTCAGTAAATTTTAACCATTTCTGTTGTAGCTTCCAGTCATGCTTCTGGCGTTACTTTTTGAAAAATAATCACTTGTTTATAGAAGCTATTGAGGCTTATAGTGAATTACATATTTGAGGAATATATTAATTGTTGATTTCGAAAAAAAATTTCCATTGGTATAAATGTAGGAGTTCGAATTATGTAGTATACAGAAGGCTTACGGCACCTCAGTGCTAAATTCGCAATGAAACAGCATTGGCCATATTTTGGGCAAACATCAGCGTTTTAGCGTATAATGGACATGAAAATTAGTCTTCGAGCTGTGTCTAGTTTAATTCATCCCGATTGTATCAGTCAATTTTAATGACCGCTTATCCTTTCGAGTCGCGGAGGTAGACACCAGACAGTGTCTGTAACGTTTCCGATGTTATGCTGGTGTCTGAGTTTCGGCAAAATATACCGAGTTCGTAGCCGAATGAATATGGGAATTTGCCCCTGGTCTTTTTGGGCTGATTGGTTGAGCAACTAGTAGCTGTTTTGCCTCCCTCTCTAGAAGCATTCCCAAGAAGTGTCTAAACCATGGCTATTATGTCTTCTCAGTTTGTTGAAGTAGCGCATGTACAACAAGACTGTCGGATATCTGTATTCTGGTCCATTTCGAGACGAGGGAGGTCAGCGATTCGTCTCAGATAGCCCGTGTAAGCCACATGTATTCGGGATCGAAATTTTTCAGCTGTGGCCCACGTCTCATGACCGTAGGTGATCATGATGATGTAGATCGACTTGAACACTTGGGGATTATACTTCATATTCGGCTCTGCTTTAGTCACAGTGGTTTCAGGCTAATTCACGCATACACTACTGGCTATTCCAGCCAGCCAATGTATTTTCTATTAACAGTTAATACCATCCCAAGGTGCGTGAACTTTACCTGTTCTGGTGAATCTTTGTTTATTCGAAGAGCGAAATAAGCAAGGGTAACGAGAAAGCATTAAGCTTTTCGTTTTAGCAACATTCACCTGCAAAGCAAGGAACCATTTTGGGGAGCGCTGGAGATCAGTTTCAGAAGATACCAATAAAATGAGGTCGTATGGAAGCACCAAACTTTTTTTCTCCAAATCTCGTTCTGATACTCTTGTTGTCCTGAATGTACTTGTCCATCTTGTCCGTATTGCACAAACAGGTGAGGGGATAGGGATGATTTTTCTGGCATGTTTTCATCTCATGTCTCCCTCCTTTGCGTGGCACTGCATTTTTTTGAAACCTTGTTGCGATGGGTTTTTTCACTTTCACCCTTACTGTGCTGTCAGGCAGCCACACTCAGCCGTAGTTCAGTTCGACTGATCACGCGTATAGTTGCAGGCAGTATTCCAAACAGTGCTAAGGTTGAGAATTGTCATTTTGGCTGACTTAATGATCCGTTAAGGAACAGTCTTGCATGCTGCTGTTCAGGCATTTGATCGACATGGCTAGTAGTGTATGGTATTGTATTTCTTACGCCCAACCGTATTCCTGCCGAAATTCCGTTTTTATGAACACTGTGCACTGCTTTCGCGATTGCGTAACTTTTGAACTTACCTACTAAAACTGATTTTTAGTTGTTTTTGTTGTTGTTTGCCTTGTTGTTTTTTGTTTTGTTTTGCGTCATATATCTTTTTAGCAGATAAATGACTATCATAATAGCAGTGTTCTTTTGTCGTGCTCCATTACAGAATACACCTGCATTTCAAATTGGCGAAATGAAAGATTTTAGAAGTTTCACTTTTGCATAACTGTTCTAATGCGTGTCCACCAAGGTGAAAATCTTCTCTGACCTGTATAATAGCGATACTCTTTTGCTTGTATTGTCGAAAATTCGAACCCCTTCCTTAGTTCTGTACTTTCAAGTCATTAGCGAAGTTTGATTATCGTCACTTTTCGGCGATTGTTTCATGCAGTCAAAGGTCGATGTAATCTTTAGAACAAACAGGCAAGCCACCCTGTCCCACGGCAGACGTAATAGTAACAGTAAAAGAAATAATTGTAAAGAACCACCGTTGATCAATTGTTGCGTGGTTCAGTTCAGTCGGATAGTCGACCATGTTGAACACACAGATATGGTTATTTTCGCTGAAGCTGAAGAGCAACTCAGGCACATAAATTCTGTATTTTTATGCCCTTCAGTGAGGAATGGTGAAGGTCCTCTTTCATCAGGTCTGTCTTCCAGAGATGCAGTGCGATGACAAGTGCAGCAACTCAAAGAACATCTCAACATTTTCGAGGACTTGATAATGTGTACGACATCCTCTGCGGCACTCTCACATTAGCTAGCAGCAGTTTGTTCGTGTTCATAGCTTTGAGCCGTTTGCTGCATAAGCAGAACTTTTCCGCTTTGTGATTTACGCTGTATCGGCAGCTTTTCAACACTTTCTGTGCCGCAGCAGTTACTGCATCGCACAAAAATATTCCTCATTGAAAGCAGCACTGCACCAATCTTGTTTTTCCAGATTGCATGCTGTCCTATGGCCGATGTCTGCAGTTTTTCAGCTTTCAGCACGATAAGCTTACGAGCTGGGGTAAATGGTGTTTGCTGAACAAGTTTGATAACAAAGCTAATCTTTTCTTAACCTCAGCTTTTCCTGTCCTGCCATTTAACCTCAT